GTTCATTATTTACTTATATATATATGTATATATATATATTTTAGAATTCGTTCTTCCGTATATTATTTGAGGATAACGCCTTCAAGGCAACCAGTTTGTTTTTATATAAAGTGCCCATTATTTCAATATTCAATTCACAATTGATATATCTTGCCCTTGAAGAGCGAATTTATCATGCGAAACTCCGATCGGGAGATAATTCAGTGAACATTTTATTTATTGCTCACCTATCTATTAGATTTAAACATTAATTAGCAAAACACATAATTCTTCGATCATTTATAATGACATACAGTATTAGCAAACCAATAACAATTAAATAATACAAACATCCAGTAGATATTTTTCTCATTAAATACTTACTTAAAGTTTGTCAAATTCATCTTGATTTAAAAAAAAAGAAAATATTAACAATGAAAAAAATGTAAAATAAAATAAATAATATGAAAATTACATATGAATGATGTTTTTTCTTCTTTGGTGAGCATATATTTGAAACATTTAGGTCAATTACTCGTAAATATAAAAATTGTGTGATCAGTTACTATCCAATACATTTACATATTATATTAGCACTTAGATATGAGGGGTGCTAAAAATGGCCAAACATCAAAATACTGATTTTGGGAAGTGAGTCGGTAAATAATTTTTCAAAATCCCATCGTACATCAAAGATATATATATATAAAGAGAAATCTTTCTAGGAGCGAAATGGCCATATAAATGGGATACAATTGTGTTTCATTTTTATGTAATTCATATATATATATATATATATATATGTAAATATATATATCTAAATATATATATATGTATGTATATATACATATAATCGACTCTCCCGTCGAGTTCGACGTATGAGGGTCAGGCCGATAAGTTTCCAGGAAACCGACATCCCGACATCGGCACATGAGATTTGATTATAGTTGTGAAGGCCTCGTGCAGGACCAGCCACACTTTTTGGAGGGACGAATACAGAAACCTGGTGCACCGAATGCCACAAGGTTTCCAAACGACCCTCCGCAGGTTTTAATTCAGAGTTGTCCTTCTCCTAGACCAGTTGCCATCCAAGGCTATAGAACCCAGTCTGTCCTGCTATTTTACCCATAGCTGGAGGAGATGAAGAGGATTCATACCTTTCACATATATATATATATATATATATATATATATATATATATATATATATATAGCATATTTTCATTCAAAAGATGTTTCATTGAATAATATAGACATATTGTGCCTACTTATTTTATACTGATTCTTTCCAGTTGGCTAATAAAATTTTTGATGATCTAAGAAAAGATCAACGGTACTTGGGTTAAAAATACTACGGCGCCTTCCTTGATGAATTTTATCTTAACATCAAGAAACTGATTAGGGAACTGGAAAGGAACAGTATAAAAATAAGGAGACACAATATGTCTATATTATTCAATGAAGCACACACACACACACACACACATATATATATATATATATATATATATATATATATATATATATATATATATCGGGTGCGTCAAGTATTTGAGAACATGTTTTTAGCGAACCATAAGTGGAAGATTACCTAGTGTAATATAACGCAAGCCATACCAAAGTTAAATATTATCATTTCTCTTTTAGGCATATTGATACGATCAACAGGACAGATCTTGTGTCCTTTCAAGATGTTGGCGATCATGGCTCTCCGCAACTTCCTGTCCTTTTGTAGATCTCAAACCTGTTATACCATCCATTCATTCAAGCTCGCCAGACAGGTTATGCGTTTTTTTCACTCTTGCCTTCGATCACCATCCTTCCGAGGAAATGAAAAAGCGTGTCGTACTCGTAGCATAAGCAGCCATCCAAAGCGACCCGAAACCAGTTTTTTGAAATTAGCCAACTGGAGACTAGCAGCAAACAATTGTCCCTGCGTGGACTCCACTCTAAATCAAGTTCACGTTGTCCGTGAGTGATGAGGTTCATGAATAATGAGTGTTATGTCCTCCAAACCCAATTCTCACGCAGGTCTTAAAACTCAAGGCCATTGCCTATAGCAAGTTGCTTAACATAGTTGTCAAGCCCTAGATTGAGAGTTGTGGGTGGCCGGTCGGGCCCCATTAGTACTATGCTTCCTCTCATATATCCATAAGACCCAGGAATGGTTGACCGAGAATTTTCATCCTAATTCTCCTAGTTCTTCTAATTTAAATCCCTAAAATCCTCCAATGTAGAGAGTTGCGGTGAAGGCGAGCAATCAGCGGTGCCACAGTAAGAATGACTTCAGGTCGCTGTCGTAGACATGATGGAGAATCTGAAGAAGAACCACTATACAGTCACATTCAGGCCGCACTTGAGATTGAAGGGAATAAGATTTTCTATTTTTCAAAGTCGAACATGCCGCATACAGTGCTGTTCGATAAAAGTGACTCGCCTGATTTTTTCTACTAAATGTTCTCTTCTCCGATGAAACGAAAGTTGAGCTAAATTCAAAGAAAAAGCGATCTAAAATCCGAAGAAGAAGCTTTGAAAGCTCTTTGAATTTAGCAGTAAGTACTGTCAAGCATCCGTCCAGTTCTGGGGATGCTTTTCTTTTCATAGAACTGGTTTCTTAGAACCTATTGAAAAGACCCTCAGGAGCGAGCAGTACAAGAGGATGTTAGAGTCTTGTCTGCTCCCTTCTGCTGAAAGGGTGCAAATCGACCCCACCAAGCTCATTTTTATGCAGGATAATGCTCCCTGTCACAAATAAAAATTGATGAAGGAATACTTTGATGAGAAGCAGGTGAGTGTTATGACATGGCCGCCTCAATCTCCTGACCTCAACCCCATAGAAAACTTATGGAGCATTATAAAGTACAGGCTCTCGAGAAAACAGTTGAGCAACAAAGAGGATTTGATTGTGAACTTCATATTCGAATGGAATTCAATGCTTGGAGATGAGATTTGCCAGAACCTAATCAAGTCAATGCCAAAAAGGGTTGAAAAGGTTATTCAAAATAAAGGAGGACCCATAGATTATTAAATATCTCGAACTATATTACCTATTATAAATAAATTATACCTCTATTATTCTTTATTTAAAGCTGTTTGGTTATGTTTCTATTGATTATTAGTTGCAGGAAATAAATGAGTCACTTATTTGCAGAGTTCTTCCCTAAATCTCATTTATCCAAAGTTATAATTATCAATAGAATACCTTAGGGTAAGTAAACATTTTTACTAGGTGGTCGGGAAGGAGTTTTTATATTAGTAACATTAAAAATTAGTTAGGACCCCAAAACCAATAGGCGAAAAAAATTTTAAGTAAAAAAAAAAATCAGGTGAGTCACTTTTATCGAACAGCACTATACATACAAATTTTATTGAAAATATAATTTTTTTCATATTATTCTTTATACTATAAGTTGTTCTTAATTACATGGCGCACTATATATATATATATATATATATATATATATATATATATATATATATATATATATATAATAAGTAAATATTGTTAAAGATATTGTTAAAGATATTGTCCAAAGTTCATTTGGGAAGAAATGGGTCCAAACTTTCAATTTTCCTTGTTATCTGACAAAGATTATTCGTAATTTGGAAAAGTCGATCAATAAAATTAATCGATACAAAATGTCTGCTGTTTTTAATAACATCTTCTTTAAAGAACATTTTTTTGCTTAAATACGCACAAACACACATACAATGTATATATATATATATATATATATATATATATATATATATATATATATATATATATATATATATATATATATATATATATATATATATATACACACATATATATATATATATATATATATATATATATATATATATATATATATATATATATATATATATATATATAATAACGACAAAAGAAAAACACTTTTCTTTACCAAAGCGTTTTGTCTCCTGAAGGATTTTATAAATGTAATGTAAAGATTTGATTTTGCAACATGTATTTGTAAACAGAAGTAAAATTAAATAATGTTAAAGTTAAGTGTGTAAACCAAGCTAAATTATGAGAGATGCCACATGATGTAGTTTAGAACATTCTTAAATTTTAAAGTTTTAAACTTAACGATATTTCTCCTCTACTTATGTTTATTAATACTTATCAATGTTGCAAAATAAAATCCTTATATTTTCCTGGAAATAATCCATCAGAGGACGAAATACTGTGATAAAGAAAAGTTTTCCTTTTGTCTTAAGTCGTATTATCTTTTTACAGATATATTCAAATTCTATCTAAATTTTTTGCACCCCCCTATATATATATATATATATATATATATATATATATATATATATATATATTGCTCTGTAATAATAAATACATTGAGCTCTTTTTGTGGATCAGTTTTAATATTTTATATTATTAGCATCCACTTGGATTATATACCAACGTATTTATTACTTTTACTATATATATATATATATATATATATATATATATATATATATATATATATATATATATATATATATATATTTATATAAAACTATAATATATATTATAAACTATTACATTGGAACATACAACTTACCGCGACAAAATGCATATTTGTTTCGACGTGTCTCGTTGGGCGGTTAACGTCGAAAAAAATGCATTTTTGTCGCGGTAACCTGCATGTTCAATGTAAACAGTTTATAATAAATATTTATTGCTCTACTTCTTGTATTGAGCACTTTTTTAAATGATTGTTATGAACGTTTGAATTTATATTTTTTTCGTTCTTTTACATTTGGATAACTCATGCGTATATATACTCCACGCATTTCTATGCTGGGTATGACATCTATGCAAGCAAAGAAGACAACATCTATTCTTCTATATACACATAGGTGACGACAGTTCTACTTCTATAGGGGTATATGGGCACAATACGTATCGAGGCAGAATAAGTATCGTTACAAAAATGATTTCAAATTTTCGCAGTTTTTATAGAAACACAGCGTGACCAGTTATACAATTTTTTTTACGTCACAATATTTAAATTACAAACATAAAGGAAAAATAGGAAAATAAGTGAGAAAGAGAGGGACATAGAGAGTAGGAGGGAGGAAATGGGAATGAGAGGGAGATATTAAAAGAAATATTTTACCGGAGAAAAGATGAGAGAAAGAAAAAGGATAACAAGTGCAGTTTAAGTTTCTAACCTTGCGATTGGTTTATTTGTTGGTCACGTGGGTAGGTGTATAATTTTAATGCTGTGTAAATACCAAAAATAAAACAAAATAGAAAAAAAAAATTAAACTAGATTTTTGTCTATGTTTCGTGATTGTTTCTTTGCATAATCGTCTGTCTAATGGGAAGGATGAAAGTAATTGGCTGGGCTGTGCTATTTGTAGAAGAGTTGTTCCCCTTGCCTGTAATAAAACGCAAAAGAGTTGCCAGAAAGACAAGAGGTCATCATTGGTTTATTTTTCAGATCACGTGCAGCATTTAACTGTTAAAAATGGAGATGGGCAGTGTGTTTCTTCTTTACTTTGTGATTACTCCAAAACAAGATTTTTTTTTATCACGTGGAGGTTTGCAACGTGTTCGTGTAAAGGATGTGTTCGTGTAAAAGGAAGAAGAAAGTGATTTTTTTAATGGTCAATTTAATTGCCTACCTGCCTTACGACTGGAGACAGGGAATTAAGCAGCAGTTTCGTTTGCCCAGTTGTTCCATTTATTTTATCTTGCCGAATGCTGGGGGTACTGAATCACAGAGGACAACGTTTCAAATATCAGTCACAATAGATTCGTTTAAAAATAAAGCAAGTATCACGGAATGTAGTACACATTTATAACAAAAGAGTATAGAAACTAAAATCCCCACCATTTTTTATTTCTCTTATTAAAGACATAAGAAAGTCTCAAATAAATCTTAGCCATGAATACATAATTTTTTATTCGATGAAAAATATTAAAATCTTCTTGTGAATTTATTGATTTGATCTGGCGATACAATTCAAAGAAATTCAAAACGTTTTGATTTTTGCGGTCATGTTGGAATCATACAACACTGGTTAACATATAAACGAAATTAACTTATAAGATAACGAGCATTGAAAGAACATTTTTAATTTTAGAAGGACGGGTACTTAATATCTATAATTATAATAGAAAACCATTCATTATTATCAACTTTCTGACATTCTGAAGACGAACGGTATTTCAAAAGATGATCACTGAAATTGTATGTGGTTTAAATCAAACAATTACTAAATATTTGTCTATATTTCTGAGATGAGGTATTGTAACTATTTACACTATTTACATTGTTCGGGCTGTTGTCCTCATCTTGCCATATTCACGACGTTTCAACCGTTGTACGTTCTGGCAGTTCTTCAGGTCATATTAGTTGCAATTTCGAAACGAACCCTTTATTTAGTACACTGGGGTAGATTATTCTAATTCCACGTCTCATGCTATTGGATATCTCAGTTTCAGTTAACTGTCTTTGGTAACTCTACAAGTTATTGTTCCCTCTTATGTGGCCAGGTATTGAACTCACAACACTTTGGGTCAAGTCACGTTTAGGATCACTCAACCAACGCTTGTATATACTGGGCCATGTGAAACTGAGATATTCAAAAGCACGGCATATGGGATTAGAACAATTTAACCCCATGGACTAAATAAAGGGTTCAGGTCGAAATTCCAATTAATATCGCCTGAAGAACGGCCGGAGCGGACAACGGCTGAAACGTCGTGAATATGGCAATAAAGATGAGGACAAGAGCAAGAACAATGTGAATAGTGTAAATAGTTACTAAATAGTAAATAACAAATACCGCAATTAGTAAAAGTAAATTTATTTTTTTTATGTAGACGAAGCATGAACACTTTCAATTTTAGTTCAGACGCCATCAGTTGGAAATATGCAATGATGTTCTTTAGAGAGACTTTATGATTAATATCATGATAATCTGTCTGAATGGCGTCTTTATGTCTTAGGATTTACGTACGGAAAATGTATCTGAGAATTTTTAACCGAAACAATATGGATTTCTGACTCAATGAAGGTTCTGAATAGATGATTATATAATTCGATATGTTTGGAAAATATTTTGTTAACTGAAACAGACGACGATTATACACAAAAAATATAAAATTATACACAAAAAATATAAAAAAGGCAAATAACACGCATTAATGTTAAAATGTGAATTTTAAAATATACTTTTGACGAAGTGACTTCTTAGGAAACAAATATGCTTTTTATAACTAAACCATACATTTGCATTGGTTCCATTGCCCGTTATTTTAAGATTTGCATGACGAACTCGGGTGCATTTTCTGAATATTAGACTCAAATCAAAATTGTCATAAAAACACTTTTTAATTGTTTGTAGTTTATTTAACCGAATTTTTTTTTCTTTTATTTTATCGCTTTCTTGTATTTTTATAACTATCATGTATTATATTATTTTTAAAAAATATTTTTATAATTATATTATATTTACACTATCTACATTATTAAGAATTTTCTCCTCATCTGTATTGTGATATTCACAAAGTTTTGACAGCTGTACGCTCCGGCTTTCTTTAGGTGATATTTGTTGAAATTTCTATAGAACTCTTTATTTAATCCAACAAATATCACATGAAGAACTGCCGGAGCGTACAACCGTCGAAACGTCATGAATATGGCAATAAAGATGAGGACAAAAGTCCGAACAATGAAAATAGTGTAAATAGTTACAATACCTCATCTCAGAAATATAGACAGATATTATATTTATATTTTGTTGCTAATATTTTTTAAAACTTTTACTTGCTATAATTGTTATTTCATATCTAATGGTGTAAAGTCTAGAGTATGCCCTGACACCTGCAGTAAAAGCTGAAAGGATTGGGTTACATCTACCTCGACCTACATACACACGTGTAAATAAAGTAAATGGCTGCTTGTTCATGTGCTAGGGTTGCTTGTTAATCCCTGTTGTAGACATCTGCTCAGGCTCATGTGTGTTTGTTCGACACCCAAAGAACAAATCTTTGACTTATACTGTAACTATACTAAGTAAATATTAGTTACAGTTTCTTGTAGATAGAACATAGCATGATCACCAGTTGGAATAATGTCTGTACACCAAAACTGTCAGTCACAATGACTTGTGACTTAAACAACCATTGGTGGTTACCGAACAGTTTTATCAAACAAATTTCACTCAAAAGATTTACGACAACCTTTGGTATGATTTTCAGACACTTTCACGGGCCGATATTATTAAATGGATAACCTCCTTGACAAATCGACTATGGCGAGATTCGAACTCGGGTCTCGTGGACGGCCACATATTAAACCGACCTTGTATCACATGTGGTCAATAAATACCAAATCTTATATGATAATTACTGAATGTAACATTATTCCTAAATTTATCGTCATCAAATGGGGACAAGTCTTAGTCTTCATAAGAAAAGACAGGGGCAAGGTGACTCGCGATAGGAAAAAAATAAAGATTATTGTTGCTTCATATCTTCAATTGGAAATGATACAACAGTGATTAAACAGAATTTGAAACTATTTTGTCTTTTACTATTTATAAAAGTAATCTTTTTACCATAATGTAATGAAGCATGATGGATAACGACTCGGATTGAGGAATCGGAGAGCCGAGTTCGAATTCCAGTCGAATCCATTACATTCACTTACGTGCCAATACCCTTGGATGAATCCTCTTCTTCTCCCCCCAGCTATGGGTAAATAGCAGGACAGACCGGGTTATGTAGCCTTGGATGGCAACTGGTCTACCGTAGAAAGAAATGGCAACCTACTGCTGGAAAAAAATCTGCTTCGTCAGTCATGTATCGAAAGATACATGATTACCTACGCGTGTATCACGCATGGCACATAACTGACTGAATGAGCTAAATTTAGAAAACGTATCCAGCTATAGAGGAAATATATTTCGGACTCAGAGTAAACGATAGAATTAGAACGACGTTATGAAAAGATGAAGAAACAGAAGGACTCAATGAGAATTAATTTAAGTGTAATTTAAAAAAAAATGATTTGATTGCGCGAAGAGTAAAGTATAAAAGAGGAAGGTTTCTTTTTTTCTGGTAAATATGCATTCAGGATATTTTTAACATGAAAGAATTGATGTAATGAACAGGATCACTAGAGATTCTAAACTGATTAGTGAATATCATAAGAACCAAACGCACAACATCAATGCTTAATATTCATAATCATTTTTCGAACAATATGCAAACGACAAATAAGGCAACAAATATACGACAGCATAAGAAACTGAATCCATGCACTAAAGATAAAAAAAAAAAAAGAATATTGATGAAATCTGACATCAATTTTAAAAACTTAGATGATCATTACACAGTATACGAAAGCATTCAGTAAACTCACAAAGTCCCTTGAATGAAAAAGGGTCCATTAAAATTCATATCTACTGATTCACAGAAGAAAGAGAAGACTATCAGCGATAAACAAAGGGCCTCGGTATTCTTAAAATCAAAATTAGTCACATGTTACTACTTGTCATTATACAATTCTAGTCCGTAAAATACAATCGTACTAAATTGGTATTTACTAAGTTTATCTTAGTAGCATTTGCAATTATAGATTTTACCTGGATTAAAACACTGTCGTCTAGGAAAATACCAAACGATTTTGTTAACAGGGTAGGCGTTCCTACTTAATGAGGTATTATACAATCATGTCAACTATCTTCCCGATAACAATTTTATCCCTCATCCCATATGTTGCAAACGCCCTTATTCGATACTGATAGAAAATAGGAAAAAATACGAGGTTCTATTTTGGAGAGTAACGAAGCAATTGCTGCTCAGATAGTCACTTCTGAAGAATTTGATTCAATTAAGAGGGAGTGTAGTGCAGTTTGGGACAGTTGTTAGCGATCTAATCTCGTTGGCCATTACTAGCAAGTAATACCCACATTGGTGCTCCAGCACTAAGCTTAGTAAATAAGGTAGTACCACATAAATAGTTTCAGATATAAACATCTTATAGGAGAAAGCAATGAATAAGAGAAAATTTGTATATTTTTATATTGAATATAAACATTGTATTATTACTATTATTATTGTTATTTCCTTTGATTACTGTTGCATACCCATTCCCTTTCGGGTCCCAACCAGAGACCTAAGCTCAGAAGTGGCTTCATGACATTTTCACTGATCATTAAAAAAAAGTACATTTTTTTGTATTTTTTAAAGGCATGGGTTACCATAAATCCCTTCAATAAGTCTATCGAAACATTTTCCAACTTGAAATTCACTTTTGAATTTGTTGGATTCCTTTAGTACTGAATACATTTGAGACATTTCGTTTCGATAGAGAGAGATTTGCGGATGATATGTGTAATTCCGCACAAAGTAATCTTTTGTAGTACTGACATGCTGGCGTGTCCAGGAATTTTATTTACATGATTTTCGGTACCCTTCTATTATTTGTATTCGCTTCGTTTATTGTTAGGATTTCAGGAATATTAAGCTGTTTCTTGAAGAGTGCAGCTTCTTTATTGATGGAGTGGATTTGGTGTTTTACTATTTGTAGGAGAAGGTCATTGGTTTTTATGAGGTATGCTTCCAATTCGATTGTTGTAATTTTTAGAGTTAATTCAAGTTTGATTAGACCTCAAACTCCTAAAGCTCTTGGTACGGACAGTATATCAACATCTAATTTCAGGTGGTGCATCCTCATTTGGGTAAGCATTTTTTGGACTTGGCGTCCAATCTTTTAATAATATTCAACTTCCATTTAATAAGGTTGAAGCTGTATGTTACTACGGGTTGATAGTCTTCATTTTATTGGTCCCATTAAGTTCGTATTCTAGTATCAAACGCACTCAATATAAATTAAAAACTTTTAAAATCACTAATTTTTTTGCAGTTATTTTAAAATAAATCCCAATCCTGGATGTTCAAGCACCAGATGAAGGGCAGATTTTCAGTCCCGACTCCAAAAAGATATATGTCTATGTAGAGCAAGTGTGGCCTTCAGACATACATACAGACAGAATTTGCCGTTTATTTATTTAGATATAATTGTTCATTTTAAGTTTTTGAAACATGATAAAACTTTATAGATATTTACGAAGTTTGTTATTCATAGAAAATAATATTTATAAGACTTTATAAAAGAAACTAAGGTTATTTTAAATTAATGTAATCTAAATTTTATATTCGATAGAAAAATGAATTTATATTAACGAAAAAATAAAAGTTTAAAAGTCAATATAATTTTAAAATCACAATGGAGATATTCTTTCGTTGTAATTTCAAATTAGAAAATTTAAAATATTTTAATAAGATTTTAAAAGATTTCATCTCACCAGATAGATGTGGAAAATGAAGAAATCTATCTTATGATTCTATAGAATATAGTTTCTCAAAAGGGTAACATCATTAATACACACTGCACGATTTTTAAAGATAGTAGGCATTAATGAGATATGGATCAAAAACCTATGATTAATATGGAATATTTATGAACCTATAATTAATATGGAATATTTATGAACCTATAATTAATATCGAATATTTATATAATTGATATCGGAGTTTCCGTTTCATAAATAAAATTTAAAAATACTGGGTATCTCTTTTTTTGCACATGTCAAAAGTGTTCATGATTTTGGTGTACCTATTCCATGAGAGTATCTTGGTCAGCATAAGAACTTTTCAGACCGACTCTCGTACTTTTTACTAATTTTATTTGAATATATTTATATATTTTGACATTAAATTTCCAATATTTGTATTTATTTTTCTTAAATATCTATGTAAACATGACATCAGTTCCAACCATTTCTTCCTAATCTTCTTTAAATATTTTAAATGGAAATCTTAGGAATGAAGGCTTGGAGAATTTGACACTCACGAGACATATTGAAGGCAAGAAGGGCAGAAGTAAAACTGAATAAAGTGTTTATGTAACTGGGAGGAAAAGTAAGGGGACAAACAGAGCTACGAAAGATAGGAAGCTGTGGAGAGCTATGATAGGCCACGTACTGAATAGATACGGTACATAAAAGAAGAAAATAATGCAGGTTTTTATAGTAATTTGTATAATTAATAACGGACTCAACGATGGTAGTTAATATAAAATCGATCAAAAGAACGGATATGACGACACAGACTAACTCAAAAATAAGCGCTTAAAAGCAGTTTTTTTTTTTGTTGTACAAGTCATCACTAGTTCGATTCTAGATAGAGAAGTATATTTACATAATAAAACTCAACGAGGGTATATTTCGGTAATTATAAAATCTGAAATGCCCATCAAGTAGAGATATCAATATAATTGATGACAGATTCCACCAAAAAAAAAAAAAAAAAATGAAATGCTTAACGCACAATTTTGGTTTTGTACAATGTCTCCAACTTCCGGCAAAAAAGCACAACACCATCCACGACAATACTTACGTATAACAACGACTGGTATTTATGTATCCACTACAATACAATATGGCACTTGTATTTATCAGATATTAGAGATAAAAGGAGATTCACAGTTTAGCAAAGTTAAATAAGACAAAATGGTATAAAATGAAACATGTATGCAAATAACAGAGACATTTACATAACAAACATACACAGTGCAAATGACTATGTATGCATCAAGTCAGAAAGAAAAGACTTACATAATCAAGGTGTAAAGTGTTGACATGCCATATGTGTATTTCATGTGTTGCATCTTTAGAAATAGGTAACTACGTATCAGAAGCAAATGGTTTAAACTGATATCTCTCGTAAAATTAAATATATATGTGACTCAGAAGGGTGTGTTAAAAGTATGGTGATATAAAAATATATAGCGAGCGGTATCAGCTATAGTAATGATCAATACATCTGGCAAAAGAATCCAAGAAGCTGATAACATCTGAGACCAACAAACAGTTAAGTCTATTGTATATCTACATGGATCGCTGTTTCTAAAGCGGGTTTTTACAAGAATGGCCACCAGGTTGTTCTACGAATTGAGCAAGATCAGCAACAGTAAAAATCAATAATCGTCTGGATACTAGTTGAAGTAGCTCCACCCAAAAGTCAATTCTTGTGGTGATAGGGGCGTGGTCAGAATTGTTAAAGACACGTGTCGCTTTTTAGATTATTACTGTATTTTTATTGTTTTTTTTTCACTTGTTTGTGAATTCTGAACGGCTTCTGTAATTAAATTTGTTTCAAATTATTTTTTATGAAGTCAATGAAAAATGTTTCGGTAGAACTTAATTATTTCGTGGACGCACGTTAACAGATTATATAAAGAAACACAAAATGAAAGCAGTCAGCGGACGGACGTAAATGTTTCGCTGAACCAATCGGGTTACAAATAAATCAGCTTTATATTCCAGACGATAATATATATTCAAATAAAAATATTTAATTCCAGATTCTTAAGAAGCGACCCTCGGATATTAACGCTTGTCTAATCAGTCTCTGTCTTAAAGAATTAGACATGGGAAATGCTAGAAAATTTCATAAATTCCAAATATGTATCTGGTAAAATTATTTTTATTCTGGAAAGATATACAAGGAGTAACCAATCGAGTTATAAAGACGGATACAATTGTAGCATTTTATCGAGACTAAATATTATTGATTTTTCATTAACTCCTTTTATCTTTCTCTCTCTTTTGCTTTTATTAAATGAAATCATTCAATAAATCCAATTAGCGTCTTTTTGAGCTGTTTATCTGTTTAAAGATTTATGAATTTGAAATTCAAAAGTAGTAGAGCCCCACATTTATGATTTCGAACTTAAAGACTTTCAGGTATAACCGTGCTTTAAATTGTACAGCGTGGGCCAAAAATAAGTCGACAGTTGTTTAATTATTTATATACTGATGTCTTTTTAATTTTTTACGCGTTAATACCACAATTCAGAACCAGACTTGTTTTCTCAGCAAGATGGGACTGATTATACTTTGGCAGATCGGACGTCGTGGCATCATTGAATGGACACCATGTTCAACCGACTTAACACCTATGTACTTCTTTGGGTGTGGGGGGTCGTAGTAAAGAATTAGTATTATGTGAAAAATTCCCACACAGTAGACGAATTAAAAGAGTTCTTCTTGAAAGCATTTATTGACATTGATGTGGATCGAAATTGGTGTCACTGTGTGTCACAGTGTTCTGGAGAGTTTCGAGGAATTTTACAAGGTCGAAAGAGGACATTTTGAGCTTTTGAGATTAAACAGTGTTAAATAAATGTAACTGGAATAAATATGTAAATGTAATAAAATGTAAAAAAGTGTATATCTACTTTTGGTTCACCCTGTATAATACTTTGTTAAATTTCAAAGTTTACGGTTCGATTCCATTCAAAAGCGTGTTGCTCCTTTCAAGAAGATATAGCTATCTTCAGATTCTTTATTCTTAGCAGAAGTAAAATTTTGCTTGAAGAATAATATTCAGAAGTATCTGTAAAACTTACTTATTTATTTTTAATCATATCTTTTAATGTAACATTCTGTAATAAAACGATGTAATATAGGCAATAGTTGCAATGAAAACATGTTTCATAGTGGACAAGGATGTTGATGACGGTGAATCCTTGTAGGAGGATAAACAAAACACAACCCTTAACCCTTAATAATTCATGGCAAATGCATATGTTTAGTATGGAGCCTCAATTCGCCTCTAGCCGTTATTGAGCCTTTTTATTTCTGTGAAGGGAAGTATAATCGAAAATCTAGTCTAAGAAAGCAAGATTAGTTGTCCAAAAAACCGAATATCTATTTACACTCCATAAATATCACAGCCTTAAAACCGGCTGCAAAAAGAAAACCGTTTCGAAAGTAGAATGTTCTTATGAATAAAAATGAAGATAAAACCTCGGCTTGTGGAAGATTGTGTAGCTCACATAACATAAGTTTTCAATCATTGTGCTCGAGTCATCATCTGTAAACAGATTGTTAATCAAGGATGAAGAGCTTCCACTAGCACAATTTCCGTCAACACAACCATCAACAGCTTTTGAGCAGTTTTGTCTGCCTAATTTCAAACACAAGGTTTTGGTCAACTCGTCTTATGGTTTTCAGATTGTTCCAAACAATGCCGCACCCTGGAATAGTCCTCCTAAGATTTGATATCATTAAAGTCAATTTCTTATTTAATCCATCACGGTTAGATTCGAAACCCATGACTTATGCTCAGAACACAAACTAACCCTTCGGCGCCGGTATAGCAGAAAATGAAAAGTATAAACAGTCAAAATTTCTGTTTTTTAACTCCTAAACTTGTATTAATTTATAAATGCAATAAAAAAAAACTCTGCTTGTTCGTGACTATTTAGAAAATATTTTAAAATTTTACAGAAATTAATTTCTAACGTGATTTTGGGTGAGTTTAGTGGATGTAAAATAAAAAAAAGATATTAAATGGGAAAGTGTTGCATAGTGATGGAAAGAGGTTAACGTTTTCCCAATATATTTATTGGGAAAAAGTGAATAATGAAAGGATAAAAACGAAAACCGTAGAAAAATGCTCACCTGTTAAAACGCCGTGTCAGTAACATGATAATCAAGGCCACTCCTAAGAAGACCACAATGGCCACTACACTAACAATTAATGCCAGTAATACCGGTCCTTGGAAGATGGCTGAAAAACGCGAAAAGAAAATAGTTCACTGAAACAACCAATAATAATAATAATAATAATAATAATAATAATAATAATAATAATGATGATGGTCATTACTCTGCCCGTACCAAACATACTAATGTAGACAAATCCCGTATCTATTAATGGTTGAATAAGGCAGGGTTAAAAGATGAAATCGAAGGTTTTATTCGTGTTGCACAGGACCAATGCTGGCTAACTAGAAATTACCAAACAAACATAGTGAAAAATTATATTGATTCCCATTCTGTGATAAATATCCAGAAACAATTGACCATCATCTATTAGATGGCACGGTATTAGTATCCGTCGATGATATACGGTGGGTCAATATGCAACAAAGAACATAAAAAGGGAAGCAGATGCAAATGGAATGGACAAAATGCAGAAACAATGGCAAGATAAACCTTTTCATGGTCAATACTCTGCACTTACCAAAACTTGCTGATGTAGACAAACCCCATACTCATCAGTAATTGCGTAGTGCGGGATTAAAAGCTGAAACCAAAGGTTTTATTCTTGCTGCACGCATGACCAATGCTTGCTAACTAGAAATTACCAAGCACACTTACTGAAAAATAGTGTTAACCCGAAATGACGATTCTGTGATAAATATCCAGAAACAATTGAGCATCTTGCATCTGTTAGAACGGTGTTAGCACCAACTGAATATAAAACTCTGCACGATAGAGTGGGTCAATATCTGCATTGGAAAATATGGCACTTTTACGGAAAGGAAACTGCAAGAAACTGGTATGAACACCACCCAGACCCGGTTACGGAGATAGGACCTGTAACAATTTTATGGGACTTTACAATACACACTGACAGAACAATCAAAGCTAATCGCCCTGACATCTTGATCAAAGACCACACAAAAAAGCAATAAAAATTAAACAAACAAAACACACATTGTGCTTTCTTATTGACATGGCAGTCCGTGTAGACTGTAATGTATCTTTGAAGATCTTCAAAAACTATCAAATTACAAGGATCTTGAAATCAAAATCTCAAAGATGTTGAAGGGATCCCTGTTAGTCCAAGTCATAAAGAAACACAAAAAAATTATACTCACAAGTACAACTCACGCCTTACAAAGAATTTATCTATGAAAAATGTATGAGATCTTATTTTTTTAATTTTTCTATTTTTCTCTTTTCAAAAACTGCTCAGTGGAAAATATCATGATATCATTTCTGACCTTAGGTTTCTGGTTGACACCCGGAAAGAAATGAGTATAGAACAGAAATCAAAGGAATAATAATAATAATAATAATAATAATAATAATAATAATGCTTTGGGTGAGAACATTTTTGGTGATGAGGAGTGTTTTATTTTCTATTACTAGGCTTGATGTATTTTTACTAAATAATCCCGTTTGTTAAAAAATGTTTAAACTCTTTTATGCTAAATCTGTTTCGATCGATCCACATTTTGTCTTGTCTTTCTGTCTCGCTTACGGTCATATAATGTTGGAACACCGTTTTCCGTACGATCACCAAAGTTAAACAATGTCGAGCCTGGTCAGTACCTAGATGGGCGAACTCTTGGGAATACCAAATGCTGCAAGCTTGGATGTGCGGGTGGTGTAACAGATAATGGCTTGAAATTGTTAATTGGAGAGTCGAGTTCCGATTCCAGTTGGGTTCGTTATATTCACTTACGCGCAAATACCCTTGAAAAGAATCTCTTCTACTCCTTGCTATAGGTTAATTAGCAAGTCTTGTATTACTGTATCACGAATCTCGTGATCTATCAGGGTCGTAGGGGCACCACATGCACTGTCAACCACAGTAGAAGTGATGTTTCTTGGGCAAGATTACCTTACGGAGCTCAACCGTCTACAGAGTTACCTTCTCCTACAGTTGATACCCAAGGCTATAGCATCCAGGCTGGCCTGCTATTTACCCATAGGTGGGGCGAGAAGAAGAGGATTTATACCTTTCCCAAGGTTATTAGCATGTAAGTGAATGCAATGGATTCCTCTGGAATTCGAAATCGGCTCTCCGATTTTTACGTGTTCCAATTCTTCAATCCGGACAGCTATTATTCCGATTCTTCAATCCGGACAGCTATTACCCCACTGTGCCACCACTAAATGATTATTATCTTTAAAAAAATTAAAATCTCAAAATGTTTTCTGGCTTTAAATAACTTGCAAAGGGTTGATAAGCCGCAAAAAGCGAATCAGTCTATCGTTTTTCTGTCTCTCTTTATATATACACATCAATAATTTCGTAACTTAAATTTTTTTAACGTAACTCATTTTAACACTCCCCCATTAATCATATAGATTGAACATTATACAATAGAAATTCCAGATCCAAATCTAGCTAAGCTACGGACTTGATGTTCTGTCTTTGTACGATGGCTTAAAAAGATATTGACATGAAATCCAAATAATAATTAAAACTAGGCTGAGAATTTTCAGCACCCCTCGTACACACACACACACACACACACACACACACACACACACACACACACACACACACACACACGCACGCACGCACGCATACTATGTCTTTAAATTGTAATTCATATACAGTTTGAACTAAAATTCATCTTTCATTCAAAATATATTTGCCATATACACAAAAAATACTTTTTTCTGATTCGTCTCATGCGGCAAATTCGATAAAAAGAGAGGAATAATGAGGAATGTTTTTCGCAAAATTGGAAAACTAAATAAACAAAAAAAATGAGTAAAACAGGTCAAAACGTACAGGACAAATTTCTAAATTAATTTAATTTCGAGTTTCCCGAAAAGAAAGGAAATCATTTTTATATTGTATGCCTTTATAATTACTGCGGAATTAATTAGAAATTAATTAACAACGATTTTGACTTTTCCGTCAGTGGTATACAATTTGTCAATAATATGTCTCTACTAATATGCTTAAGTTTGTGAGAGTGCGTTGGTTTGGATGTTTGGACATCAGAACCGAAGAGAAAGTTTCTGCAACTCAGGTTTTTCTATAGATAACCGACCTAGGCTATAAAAGGTTGAACTCGGAATCATTTTAAGGTCACCAGAGTTTATCAACGAACAAAGGTAATCAAACAACACAAAGTGCTATTTTTATCCAAATGAAGTTATTGAAAGTCAAATGGGCCGTGATACTGGGTTTGTTATGTCGACAAAAAGTTTCACCAGATATCCAAGAGGTCATTTAGAATTAGTTTGTGGCCTTTTTGACCGATATTACAAAGGATTATCTTAGAGGTTTGTATTTGTATTAATTCCCAGCATCCACATGATTCCAACTATCATCATCATCATCATCATCATCAACATCATAGCAAAAGCCAAACACCTAGCCCTTGTTCACACCTGAATGTGCAGTTGTATATTGATAAACTATAATCACTACTACTGTCTCTATCAGAGAGATTAGCATAGCACAGTGGTTCGCAAAACTTTTCTTCTCTGGGCCGCATTTTGGGAAAATTTGCTCGCGCCTCACTAAAGGGAAGTCTCAGTGAAAAGACACAAGTAGCCTTACGGCAAAGAAGTTTCAGAGAGTGGGTTAAAGGGAAATAACCGCGAAATCGAAGTCAGAATATTATCATTGATAACTCTCTCCTTCAATTTGTGGACCCTAGTTACTATATTCTTAATACTTGATATAATGCAAAACTATTACAATGATAAAATCAATCAATAATTATTTATAGTGGGACTCATGCATGCAATTACAAGTAATCCATAATAATATTTTAAATTTTGAAATCATATTTATTTTTGGCATAGGAATTTTTTTAAAACTGTTTCTAAATCTTTGATTGTCTTTCAATCTTTCCGCCTCACCTGCTATCCTCTTCCTCCTCACCTGCTATCCTTTTCCGCCTCACCGGCTATCTACTTCTACCGCACCTATGAGGCGCGTGACATCGTTTGGGAAGCACTGGAATAGCAGAACACTTGTCTAATTTATAACTACGCACAATCACCGAGAGAGAAGCCAGGAAAATGCTTGGTTCCCGCGATACCTGGAAAATTGCAAACGCAATACTCAAAAGAGGCAAATCGTCAGTGCCTTGATCCTCGTCGGATAAGGTTAAGTTCTTTGCTATGAAATTTGCCTTTAACGTTAGGATAGATGGGGAAAAAAACATCTCTTACCTGACTTTTCACATCTCACGGAGCACAAGTATTGTGATATCTCTATATCGACTCGAAAAGTTTCCAGACTAATCATAAGCCGTGACTCTACGAAGGCTACTGGTCCCGATAAAATTCCTGTTGTTCTTCTCAAGAACCTTGAGCCAGAATTATATCCAATTCTAGCGAAGACGTTTAACTGCTGCTTTAAGAAGTAATGATTCCCAAGTTCATGAAAGGTATGTGTCCTGTGTACAAGAATGCAAGAGATCCCTTGTCCCCAACGCATATCATCCAAACAGCCCCACCCATAACTGTCATTATCAAACTCTTTGAAGCTACAATAAACAAAAATGTTGTTGAACACCTCAAGATAATAAAATTCCTGAACGACAAACAATGTGGTTTTCGCTCTTCTAGATCCACTGCTATTATTATGCATAAAATCAGTGGTTGGTAATAAAATATCTCAAGAGTGATAATCTTAGATATCTCGAAAGTATTTGACAAGGTGTGGCACAAGGGATTGCTAGACAAACTGGCCAGCTATTGAATATCTGGGGGAGTCATCTCAGTTATCAAAATTTTCCTGCAGGTCTATGAAGGTCATCGTTAATGGCCAATCCTCTGAGGCACATGAGATCACTGCTGGTGCCTTCGCCAGGCCCTCTCCTCGGTCCCACACTCTTTCTATTTTATATTAATGATCTGCACAAGAACATTTTCATATACTTAGTAAATATATATGCATATGATACCACAGTGTATGGGTGCACCTCCAAATATCTTGATGACCAGTGCCTGGCAGGTGATGTCTCCTCTAACTTACCCCTCACAGCTCAATGGGAAAATGATTGGTTGCTACCAATTCCATACCTCCCAGCTAATTTAAGGAGCGTACACAAAGTTATATTAAATAAAATTTGGTGTATGCAAAATCTTGAAAGCAACGAGAAAGTAGGAAACATCGAGATGTTTTCGCGCGAAAACGAGTTTTCAGGTAGTTTATGTAGTATCTGTTTATACTTCTGAGATGAGGTATTATGTACACTATTTACATTATTCGAGCTATTGTCCTTATCTTTGTCACCATATTTATTACAACATTTCGGCCGTTGTACGCTCCGGCCTTCTTCGGGTGGTTGGACTGTCGAACTGAACCCTTTATTTCGCTCACTGAGGTAGACTGTTCTAGTTCCACGTGCCATGTCTAATGGATATCAGTTTTCAGTTATCCCCTGTTAATTCCCCTCTCCAAGTTCTCCACTACGTTAACCGGGTATTGAACTTACATTGTTTGGGTCCTGTCACTGAACTTTGTGTTGTTTAGATCCAGTAACAAAACCCAAAGAGTGTGAGTTCAATACCCGTTTAAGGCAGGGGAGAACTTAGAGAGGGGAATTAACAGGAGATAACTGATAACTGACATCCATTAAGACACGTGGAACTAGAACAGTTTACTCCAGTGAGCGAAATAAAGGGTTCAGTTCGACATTCCAACCACCTGAAGAAGGACGGAGCGCACAACGGCCGAAACGTTGTAATAAATATGGTGACAAAGATGAGGAGAATAGTCCGAATAATGTAAATAGTGTAGTTTATGTAGATTGAACAAAGTTATATTAAATCAAATAAAACATCTTCAAAATCAGGGTGTTTCTCTAAAAAAGAAGTGTTTTCAGCTCTTCTTAGCGTCTTGCTTTCTTTATGGAATGCCTCCAATGCGTGTTCGGATCTCGGTGTCACATATTCCATGTTTACTAGAAGAAGCAGCAACAACATTTACGTTGAAAAAAACAACATAGTATCGTTAGTTTTAAAGTAATAGCTTAATCACAAATAGCTTACCCATTTTCATATTTATCAAATGTTCATTCTGCGATCCTTGAGAAGCATTTCTGATTGACATACGCAGATAGCATAACGGATGTGAGCACAGAAAGTGGAATCAATGAGTCAAGTTCAAATTCTGCTGTGTCGACTTATGCAAAAATAACAATGGGAAATACATGAATCCTTATCTTTTCAAACTATCAATGGTTTAAATAGCAGGACAGATTAAGCTCTCTAGCGTTGCCTACCAGTCCAGAAAGGCCAGACTGAATTTAAAGTCATGGATAAGGAAACGGGAAACTATTCCATTATCATTTCAAGGAATCATGACAATTTACAGATATTAAAGGAAGCTGTCAAAAAGAATGGTCACTTACGTCCTGAAGGGATATGGTATGCAATGATCTCTTATAAAGGAAATACCATCTTACTGACATCCATTTGATAACGACGTCAAGGAAATGGTACATTTTCTTCTCGTAATGGACTTCCTTCAATCTATGAACGTACAAAAAGCGTACGTGTACACACATTACACACAACACACGCACACATATAAATGGATATTTAGGCAGCATATCTTCATTCTAACATGTTTCATTGGACAATATAGATATATTATATCTATTTTTTTATAATAATCATTTTTTTTAATCAGATTTTGAATTATGGCACTTTGTGTCCCGCACATGTTTTGACTGACCTTTCAGCCACTTGATGAATATTCATGAACGTTTTCAAATTTAGAAGCCATACTAAAGCAATGATATCCTTGCTCTTGTATATAAACGTGATACAAAATAAATCCTTGCATTTACTTTGATAAAAACCATTAGAGGACAAAACGCGTTGGCTAAGGACAGTTTTTCCTGTCTCTTTTCATTCAGACACACACACACAAACACACACACGCGCGTGCATACACACACACACGCACACTCATATATATATGTAAGAGAAGATAAAGCTTATAAGGGCTTCTGATTTGTCCACTTACACTTAGATTTCTGCGCCTCTGAGTGGTATCGACATTTCCCCTCGTCACTGCCGTCTTTGGTTCCGCAGTTCTGGTAACCGTCACATGCCAAGCCGGAACGGATGCAGATCTTCGAGATAGAGCAGTGGAAATATCCATCCAGGCATTTCTTACGAGTTATCTCCTCTGCAAATAGAACAAAGAGAAGGATGCGAGTTTCACTTAGTTAATCAGCCCGGCTATAAAATGAAGAAAAGTTTTCTCTATTTAAAGTAAATGGTTTGTATAAAGTTGACAAGTAAACATTAACTGATTAAGTTGACTTTTTGTGTACCTTTATATCAGGTCATCCCATAAGTTCTGCCTGAATTTTGAATAAAGAAAACAAGTGACCAAATGTTACATTTAATTACAGATTCAATCAACAATGTTTTTTCCCTGATTATCTATGACTTCCTTCCATCTATTAACAAGCTTACTATCAGGTCATCCCATAAGTTCTGTCCGAATTTTGAATAAAGAAAACAAGTGACCAAATGTTACATTTAATTACAGATTCAATCAACAATGTATTTTCCCTGATTATCTATGACTTCCTTCCATCTATCAATAAAGCAAATGTTTATTGCTCACGTAATAAGCAAAGTGTAAATGAAAATATACAAGCAAAAAATATCGCATACAGAAATGTAACACTTTTGACAAGTTACAAAATGATTTCAAATGTTTTAGTTTGATTGAAAGCTATCTGTCTATCTCAGTTTGTTCATATCTATATATCTAAGTCTGTTCATATCTATCTATCTATCTATCTATCTATCTATCTATCTATCTATCTATCTATCAAATTCCGAGTGTTTAGAGCATTTGTCAAGGAAGTTATTTGATAATATCGGCCTGGGATTTTGTTTGCACACACCGCACGGGTTGACACAAGCTATGGGAATATACATGGGTAGACGAAACATTTCAGAAAAAGTCGGTAGTTGTGCTACCATGAAGTCACAAGCCATCGTGCACGAGGGCATACGCATACTAAACTGCTGGTCCCACCAGATTGTTCACTTTGTCTCAGAAACTGTAAATAAGGTTGAATGAACGGGTTGTTTTGTGGGTGTTGAAAAAACAACAAACTACATGGTTTCCCCTTTAAAGTAATCTCCCCACCAAGCAATTTTCCATCCTCTTCTTCCACGCTTCTATTCACTACTGGAAAGATTCTTTTTGGATGCCACTCAGCTCCGTCGTTACGGGCCTCTTGATGGCCTCCTTCAAAACGAGTCACCTTGTTGATCACCTTGAGCTTCGGGAAAAGAAAAAAAAATAATTTCGAGCAAGATCAGATGAATAGAGAGGTTGTCCCAGTACGGCTATGTTCTTTTCGTCCAGGATCAGCGGATGCTCAGGGCGTTGTGAGCGGGTGCATTGTCTTAATGAAGCAGCTACGATTTGTCCTGCCACAACTCTCGCACGTGAAAAAATGCACTGGTTGCAGAAAACTAAGATTACAGTTATATACTCCAGAGATATGATGTTAGATGATAACACAATCCACTTATCCCTCTTTCGACCAGGATCTCACACAGCACACCCAGTACCATTATTTTTCAAACAAACATTATAGGCACGGTGGAGTAATGGATAGCAGCTTGGACTGAGGAATCGAAGAGCCGGGTTCGAGTTCCAGTCGAATCCATAATCTTACATGCTAATACCCTTGGGAAAGATATGAATCCTCTTCTCTCTCCAGCTGTGGGTAAATAGCGGGATAGACTGGGTTCTGTAGCCTTGGATGGCAACTGGTCTAGGAGAAAGACAACTCTGAATTCAAAACCTGCGGAGGGTCGTTTGGGGACCTTGTGGCACGTAGTGCGCCAGGTCTCTGTATTTGACCCTTCAAAAAGTGTGGATGGTCCTGCACAAAGCCTTTATCACTATAATCAAATCTCATGTGCTGGTGACTGGCTGTCGGTTCCTAGGAACTGAGTTGCTTGACCCTAATACCTAAAATACGACGGGAGAGATGAATATATATATATATATATATTTATTAATTTAAGCACAGTACGAGATTGGCGGCAAATTCTAATCCTTTTACATTTGATGTTGAAACAGTTTATTCTCTCATACTTTTAGATTCTTGCTTTCTAGTCTTTGATCTTCAAAAATTTAAATGCATCGTCAATCGTTATCTTCTGTTTTTTTAATTCCTGTTCCCTCTCTTTAATAATGTTCTTTCTTCATATTCTCTCACACTCAGTAACCTCTTGTATCTTAGTGGATTTATTGCCTTGATGGGGTGAATAATCTTCATTGCCTTGCTTAGGATGAAATGATATATATATATATATATATATATATATATATATATATATATATATATATATGGTGGACACTCCTATTGTCAACGATAAATGAGATTTAGCATTGGATAGTGCCTTTCGTTTATACTTAAGCATGCTAGCAGGGTCTGTTGAGGAGAAAATCAGGGAAAGGAAATACATTTGTGCTTTCTTAAGTGTGATACTAGCCCAGTCTTGCTGCGGGCGACAAAGCCACACTGACTGATGAAATTTGTTAAAGCAGGATTTTGATGGCGTCTATGCTTCAGAGCTTGACGAACCTGATCCCGGTGCTTCAGTCTACTGTCTTCAAAACCTTTAAACTTAATGAAACATGCCTTACGCTACTCCTTTCGGTTTGATGCTTGGGCTTACCAAGTTTTCAGATCAAAGTTGAGACGTTTCAAGTTGTCTTTCAATTTGTCTTTGTAGCGTAAGATTAGCTATATTTCCAAGAGGAGAGAATTCAGGTAGAACTCAATGTCCAGGACAGAGTAAGAATATAATATAAAAGGCTCAAACACCAATATTCCATGGTTTTAATTTATTACATTGGAATCGTAATCACTATCCAATTCATCAGACCTACAAATTATCGTGATTACGATTCTAATGTAATAAATTATAATCATGGAATGTAAGTGTTTGTGCCTTTTATATATAGCCATCCTTTCATAGAATTAACGTTGTTAAGCGTTTTGCTCTGTCTAAGCAATCTAGAGCACTTTACTTTTTCTAAAAAGGTAGGTTTGTCTTTAGGCCTTTTCTTTTTTTAGTATTGTCGTTTTTGTTCGAGACTTTATCTGGATAAGTGTTTTAGCTTTTGGCAAGTTGTCCTTTGGTTCCATCAATGGTTTTGCTTTTTCTTTAATACTATATATACAGGGTGAATGGGTAAATTTCGCGCATGTGCGTTGCTTGTTTTTTGTTTTTTTTAATTTTGTCGACTGCACAGTATAGTCTTGTCAGTTGGGCATCGTCTATTAGAAAAAGAGAACCATGACGCAATCCACTCCGCTAGAAATTTGGAAACGGCTAACTGTACTACTTGGCATTGGTGTCAGAAGCTCCACTACAAACATTTCAGAGTTTTTGGGTGTCAATCAGTGCTGAAGATACGGAAAGAGTTGGGTGACATATCACCAGTCAACATCATGATGTTTGGAGTAATCACTAGTGATGCCGACATTATGCCCCCATTCATCTTCCCACACGGCCACAGACTCAACACGACTACCTACATCATGACTATTATGTGTGGGGCGCAGTTGAACAATTGACCAAAAAAACTTCTTGTAACACCAAATATGAACTGAAGGCAGGGATTATGGCAGCATTCACCAACTTAAACAAGTAGACCGTCCAAAAGAGTTGCAGGAGATTCCGAAGTCGTCTGGAGACTGTGATTAAAGCCAACAGCGATTTTATTGAATAAATTTACTCGTTAGTAATTCAAGTTATTTTTGTGTAATTTTAGTAAATATATCTGTTAAAATCAGATTTCAGTGTTATTTTAATTTTTACGTAATGTAGACGGCAATTTATCCATCGCACCATATATATATATATATATATATATATATATATATATATATATATATATATATATATCAAGTATAGATAGGAATCCGACAAAATAATAGGATAAAGGGTAAATAGGAAATAGATCGCAATATGTTTCATTTTTATTAAAGCTTCGTCAGAGATCAAGATAGAAATGATAAAAATCATTTTTTATCATTTATCACCTAAATCCGAAGTCTTCATCGTTGTCGTTCTTGTAGACTGTCTTTACATTACAGACAAAGTGGCCCTGTTCCTCTCATAATGTATGAGTTCCCGTGTGGCTGCTTAGACCAACACGAGAACGTCGTAATTTTCCATTTGGAGGGTATACGAAAGATCTTGGACGATAGCAGGGGAATGCTTCTGTATCTGACTGCAATTCTGTTTGCTCCTGTGTTTTTCCACAGTGTCCATATGGACACGTTTTCTAATTGACCAGCAAAAATATTACCAGCCATCAAAGATGACACGGGAATGGACCATGCATTACTAGTACTGACCACCACCAACCCTTTCGTCTGATTGCAATTCAGCTAAAAAAACACTTTCTGGGCGTCAGTTCTCAGGCATGCGCATGGCGTTGGTTGACAACGCTATAATGCGGCTCTCACTGCATCTAACTATTTAATAAAGTCTCGAATTTTAATTATTTGATGATGATGATAATAATAATAATAATAATAATAATAATATCAAAGAACATGAAAGAAATAATCATACTTATAAAACCCAGGTTGTGTGTGTGTGTGTCTATTCGTTTATATATTGGATCGGATTTCCTACATTTTTCAACCGATTTCAACAAAACTTCACTTTTTTTGGCAGGTAGTGTTTCTTATTGTCATGCACACTTTTTTCTTTATTTTTACATTCAGAATGCTTTAAAAATTCCATTTACAAGACAATTGTTTATAATAAAATTCTATTCAATCGGTAGACTCATAACGATTGAAAACAATATTTTTGTTTGTGTTTGTAAAATTCGTGAAAAAAAAAAATAATTAAGACATGCGTGTCCGTCAACCTTAAACAATAATCTTTGTCAATTTTATTTTTCAGTCTTTATGATGGTCGATACTTGATCTATCTCTTACTGTTACATCCCCGGGCAACGCCGGGCTCTACTGCTAGTAAACAATATTGAGCAATAAAGGAATACAATAAATTCATATACCAACTGCAGCGGCAAAAAAAGCTAAAAAAAAAAAAGAGAAAATCAAAAATCAAATGCAGCAATGTACCAAATGCACCCATGGTCCAAACGATATCAAGATAAGCCTCTTCATGGTCAATACTCTACCCATGGTCCATACTCTACCCGTAACAAAAGTGGCTGATGAAGACAAAACTCCGCAGCCCATCAGGGTTTACGTAATGCTGGTTTAAAAGCTGAAACCAAAGATTTGATTCTTGCTGCTCAAGACCAATACTTGCTAACTAGAAATTACCAAACACACATATTGGAAAATTGTGTTAGCCCGAAATGCAGATTCTGTGATAAATATCCAGAAATAAGTGACCATCTTGTATCAGGTTGCATGGTGTTAGCAACCACTAAATATGAAACTTGGCATGGTAGAGTGGGTCAATATCTGCACTGGAAAATGTGCAACTTTTACGAGAAAGGAATTGCAAGTAGCTGGTATGAACATCACCCAAACTCAGCTACAGAGATAGGACATGTAACAATTTTACAATGCCCGCAGACAGAACAAACAAAACTAATCGCCCAGACATCGTGATCAAAAACCACAAGAAAAGGATGTGCTTTCTTATTGACATAACAGTCGCTGCAGATTGCAATTATATCTTTGAAGAGCTTGAAGAAAACTATCAAAATACAAGAATTTTGAAGTGGAAATCTCAAAAACGTGGCACATGAAGACATATTCTGGTTGTAGTTGGAGCCCTCGGAATGATTAGAAGAGGTTCTGATAGCCTCATTGAAGGGATTCCTGGTAGCACATGCCTTAAAGAAATACAAAAAATTGTGCTCACAAATACAGCTCACAAATTAAAAAAAAAGCCATATCTATATAAAATGTGTCTGAACTTAGGTTTTTGTTTTACAAAAATAATCACTCAAAAATGGCATGAAGTGATTTCTTGCCTTAGGTCTCTGGTTGGGACCCGGAAGGAAATGAGTATACAACAGAAATCAAAGGAAATAATAATAATAATAATAATAATAATAATAATAATGCAAAATTATGTAAATAAAATGATGGATTAAAATTAATCATAGGTAGAAATTGTCAAAAAAGGTAATCTTCGTCAATTAAAGGAAGAAAATTACCGTGAAACTATCGATCTGCATCTAATAAATCATGTGGGCATCATTTCGGGAATAATTTTGGTGCAACATGGTAGAATCAAGAAATGGAAGAAAAAGAAAATATAATTCTTCCTACGAGAAATGTTTTGTTTTTGGGCGATGTGTAAGAGTTATGAGGTGGCGTAATGGTTATTGGCATACAAAAAGGACTCGATACTTTGAAATAGAATTTTAGCTCAGACGATTTCTGGTTACTTAGAAGTTGTACCCTTGCGAATGGAATGAAGATCAAACTTGACTGAAAAGTAAGAAGCCGGAACATAGTTTCACAAGCGAGAAGTGCGAGAAAAGAAAATGTTAGCCTAGAACGTACGGTTAGATATAACCATGTCCGTTGTAAAATAATGGGATCTTGCCTCTAATTTAGTAGAGCGCTTGAAGTCATAGAATCTAGGAACCATAGAGGAGAGTGATATTTATTTGTATAATGATACAAAGTGTGGCACAAGGCCAAAAGGGGGAATCGGGAAGGTCTTCTTCTGTCTTATCATTAAACTTAGCTAACCGCAAACACTGACCCAAACATACAACAATATTCCTAACACCAACGCCACGCATTCTTACTTACCTTTCTTACAACATCCACCATAATGCCTCATTGTCTCTATGAAAATCCTAACAAATCCCCATATGTACAATTCATTGTGTGTGGGAAAAGGGGATAAAATACCAATCAATATGAACAAAAAACTATATACAAGAATCCAAGCAAAATAGTGTTAGTAATAAAACCTACCACATTCATCCCAACCACTCACTCATTCACACAACCATAGAGGTGAGTTCATCAGAACATTTACCATGAATGTATTTATAAAAAAAGGCACAGGGAATCTACATTACTGTCATGGGAAAGTGACTGAAGTCCAGATGCCAGGTCATGACCAATAACATTGCAGATTCTTTTTTGGATTTTATCAAGTATCCCTAAATATAAGGCAGTTGCACCAGACCATATATGGCAGCCATATTTTAAGCAAGGATGAATGGTAGACTTATAAATGTGTAAGATATATTCGGGCGAGAAAGATTGTCTATCACGACATGGAAAATAAATGTTCCTAGCAGCAGACCTAGTTCGATATAATCTTTCCATTTCATTTCAGCAGAAAACGGAGAAGGTGCAATGAGTCACTCTTCTGGGTGTTAGCATCAGCCATGCTGATAGAAGGGTTCTCTCAGACGGTTAAGAGAGAGCAGTTTTGTTTTGTAGGCGTTAAAATTAACAAGCCATTCTTTGCCCCAGTTAACAATAGAATGTAGGTCATTTTGAGATCAGCTGCTAATTTGAATTCATTGCATCAAATCATACTTATTTTAAAGACAGGAGTAAATAGATGTGCCAACTGCATAGATACATAGTTGAGAACTGATGCCATCAGGAAGGTCATTTAGGAAAATTCGAAGCAATGTAGGTCCAAGTAACCTGTGGAACATCTGCATTTATACTAATGTACAATAGTAATAAAATTTAAAACTGAGAATGCAATAGAGAAAATTGATCATTTTTTCCTTTTAGAGACATCTTACATTTAAAGGCATTATAAGATGATGAAGTACCGTGTTTGAAAGATTTTCAGATTTTGAAGAAAGCAACAATTAAAAAATATTTACTTATAAAAGGTGTTAGCAAAAGCTTGAAACCAGGAGCTTCCACAGTAGGCCTGCCGAAATAGTTCAATTCTAATTCATTGTATGACGAATTATAATCTCTCACACCACGTGACCTTTCTCCTGGATAAGTTCCATAGGCGCCATGGCGGGGAGTCAGTAACATCGTTTTCTTATTTGGGGGGTTGTCAAAGATTTGCAATCTGTAATCAAAAACAGACGAATGACGCATTATTAAGCGGGTGCATTTCATATTAAAATTCTGGTGTATTTCAATTTGTTGAAATAGTTTCAAATAAGAAAGAAACATAAGAATAAGAAAAGTTTTAAAATTCTGTCAAGATTTTAAATATTTATAAAGTATACGATCAGTTCAGTTAGGTTTGAATTTTTTTATCGGTATCATCTCATGCAAGGCAGTAAAGCCACTAAGACACAAGGGTTTTCAGGTTGTGGAAGAATTAGGAACAGGGTCATTAATAATGAGCGGGAAGAGGAAAGAGTAATCAGGTGGACAGTAGATAGCGATTGATGTTGCACTTAATTTTTTGCAGTTTAAAGTTGGCTGGAAAGCATGGAGCCGGAAGGGAGTTCCACAAGCGAGAAGTGCAAGAAAAGAAACTGTTAGCATAGAACTTACAGCTATATCTAGCCAGCTCAACTGTAAATTAAGTCTAAATTAAAAAAAAAAAAAAACTCTTCGTAGCATAGCGAAGAACTCATTCGAGCAATGACCATGAAAGTATTTATAGAAAAGATACAAGGAGGTAACCTTATAGCGATGACTGAAGCCGGGCCACCAGACCAAGGCCAATAATATTGCTGATTCTTCTTTGGATTTTACCAAGGAGATCAAGTTAAATAGCAAGGGCACCAGACCATATGCGGCAGCAATATTCTAAGCATATGTGACTTACAGAATTGAAGAGTTAAACTAGAAACTGGTGACAATAAACCAATATGAATCTTTTATCTCAATGTGTGTGGTTGTCTACTAGCATGTATAGACGTGCATGAGAATGATTGTCTATAAATATGTCCACGTAGTATAAAATATATTTGTATCTGTTTGAATTAATATGTTCCTGGAGGAAAATGAATGACCCGATTCGTCTATTTGGATATGTATCAGTTTCTTATCGTTCATGCATATCAGTGGATATTTGTGCAGATAAAGAAAATGCAAGAAAACAAATTGAATAAAATAGGACACCAGTCAAAACAAGTGTTGCCCTTTTATTTGATTTACCTATCTGGAGTGCCATGCGTGTCTGTAATCCTCAGTTCAAAAAATTGCAGCAAGATGTGTTTGGGTGGTGCCACACGGACCTTCAGTTTGCAATGTTCATACACTGCTTCTTTGCGAGAGCTTATCACGTTGTTGCTGAGTTCCAGAATGAGGCTGTCGTTTAGATACAAAACTGGGATGCGTTGTTTGCAGTAATTCAGCATATATTTTGTGGGTGTCATGGCGCCAGAGCTACTCTCTGCAACAGAAACTGAACGGTGAATGACACTTAGAAAAAGATTGCAATCTAAACTTACCTTATATTTATATCTAGGTCAGAACACACATTCTAAAATTATTGTAAGCCATTTAATTACAGCCACTCTTCGCTTAACGTCTTACCTGTTTTACGACCCCGGACTTGCGACAATAAAATTCCAAATAGTCGGTATTGTACGTTGGACGGAAATTTTGAAACTGATAATTTTATTTCTCTTCAAAATGAATCACAATAAATAAAATTTATAAAGTGAAAAATAAATAACAGTTTGCTTTTCCTATACAAAGCCGTAGCAGAGGCAAATGTATTGTTGGGAGACGGCGGAGTAATTTAGAATTTAGCCATAAATTATCAAGGACCGTCAATATGGAACATTTTAAATTTCCAGTACTTCTAGATTGGCAGAAATCATCTTGGAAATAATAGAGTCTGTGTTATAAATGAATGAACTTTTAATCTTTTTTTGAATGTCTACAGAGAAAATATAAATTCCTTAATGAAAGAAAAAAATATTTCTTTTACTTAGTTGTTTTTTTATTTTGGTCTGAAGACAACAAGAAGAACGTTTTTATTTATATTCTTGCTTTGATAGTTTTTTCTTTCTTTCTTGTATATCTTTATTGTATTTTATTAAAATAACACCCTGTAAAAATACTAGAATTAGTAAAAAATTTGGGTGAGCCAAGTCCTATTCCTCTACTGCAAGGCTGTATGGGAAGCAAAGAAATATGCAGACTATAAAACTGATTTTTGAATTTGCGTATTACGTTTACTATTAAGTAAAAAAGATATTTAGTATTAAATTAGAAATGTCACAAATAGAGCAAAAATTGACATTAAATCTATCTAAACCTGGTTGGCCCAAATTCATTACACGCGGAGTGTCTTTAATAGCGGTTAAGCGCAATTTCTTACTTAGACACCAGTTCATTTAGTAACCATGTTATGGGGAGGGAACACAACCATTAAGTAATGAGTGGCTGCAACATCAAAATGGTACAAAGATCTTAATCATTTAACAACTTTTTCGAAATTAGTATTAACTGAATGACAATTTGACAATTGTAAATTCTGTAGTAAAAAAGGTGAATTTAAACTTGGTAAATGTAAAATCAGTAAAGTATTTTAAATGTTTAACGAAACGATGTTAAAGATTTTGTCGCGAGGCTGTGAGAAAAAAAAATAGATAAGTATAAGAAAGACTTTTATTTGCTTCAGAGCATAATCTTTCTTGTTATTTGATTTTCTTCTTAAGGTATTAAAATACTTTTTTTCAAACGCAATGTTCGTGCAGGGCGTACGTGATCATGTCTCTCCCCAAATACTTTGTCTCCATTATCTGTAAATGGCCACGCATCCCCAGATTGATTGTGAACTAAAAAGGCCAATCTACATTGCCATTTAACGTACAGCTAGGGGAGAAATGGATTCATGCCTTTCCAAAAGGTCATTAGTACGAAAGGGAATACAACAAACTAGGAAGGAATTTAAAATTGGCTGCGCCGATGATTGTTACAATACCCGAACATCTCTAAACACTTTCATCAACCCGAAAATCATTTCTTAACAATTAACTACAAATGACTATCCTGTATCTAGGCAACGATTTCGTTTTATAAAAATCATTTTTGATCCAAAATATAAAATAATCAACAATACTACATATATAAGCTCCCTTTCTGACATCATTTGTTATTATTGAAGTGTCCGGTTGATATGAAGTGAAATCGACTATGGAATATACATTAAGAAGAAACACAGAAGAATATACTTGGCGACAAAAGAACTGTATGAAAAACGACTATAATGATATTGACAGTGTTTAAAGTGTTTAACACACATACGAACATCCGCACCCACCCCTGACACATTTACGCAACATCCACCCGATTTACGAGTTTCAATTAGCAAAAGCGACACCTCAAGATGCGAGTTACAAATTGGAAAAATCGGGCTAGCTTTTACAGTAGAAATAGTTTATGATGATATTTGTGGAAGATAACGGTTAACCCTAGACTTGAACAGGTTAAGACTGTAGTGATCGGGAAATCGTCCATAAAGGAGTGTGAAGAAGATGTTCGAGTAAAACCTACGAATGAAATACGAAGGGAATGATGGTGGTTTGCTACAATGTGTGTGATATGGGGGGGGGTAGCTGTGAAGATTAGAACTGTTGGAACTAAACAGTTTCCATGGAAATAGCGGTAGAACAGCGAGTGGCTTGAAACGTTTCGTTTCTGGGGAAAGGGGTTGTAGGGTGGAAAACAATTCATCACTCACAAAGACGCTTTTGAACTCTATTGAAACTAGAAAGTGAAGAATGGACAGCTCCTGCCTATACATGGTAGCAGTACTCCATATTCGCCATGATCTGGCTCTACAGAAATTTAAACCTGGACAGTGTCATACCAGAAGATGGAAAATGAGACACAGACATCCGAAGGGGCATGATAATAAAGAAAATACCTCCAAAAGCGAAATAAAATCTTTGGAAACTAGAAAATTTTGTTAGGCACAAACAAAAAAAAAATGCTGAATTGCCATTTAATATCAATCGTAATATATGGCACTGAATATACAGAATATCTACACAGGTGAAAAATAGAATTGAGGCAACCGAGATATGGTTCTACAGAAGGATGCTGAGAATACCATGGACGAAAAATGTCCGTAAAGAGGAAGTTTTTAGGAAAATGTGAACGAAAAGGACACTTATGTTTAGAATAAGAAAGAGACAGTTGAAATTTTTGGAACAGATAATGAGGAAAGAAGGTTTGAAAAATTGGACACTCACAGAATATATTGATGATAAGATGAATAGAGGGAAAAAGCGACTGCTTAACGGGCATATGTAAATCGATGACAAAGATAGTAAGGGAACAGATACTGCTTAGAGCTTCGAAGAATATGAAGCGTGGAGAGCCATGATCACTAACCTTCTGGAGGGAGACAGCCCATAGAAGATGTCTTCTACTGAGCTATCACCCGAAATTACCGTTTGTTTTTTTCAGCCAATGAAGAGCTACGGTTTATTGACAGTTAACCTTGCTACATTTGCCAAAAAACAAGTGTATTTTGCCAAAACAAAGAGGCTTGTTAATAATATATGTGAATTGGCTCGGACCATAAATTTAGTAAAATGCACGCCGCGTCTGTATAGCTTTTAGAGATATACTTTTTGAGCATTATATATAGATTTAATAATTCTTATAATTTCGACGATTTTATATTTCAAATGTAGTGTTTTGAAGTTGTAAATAATATATTTATTTTCAAAATTAATTTAAAAGTATTCATAGATAACTTTTCAAGATGAAAATTAAAAGTAAATATGCAAAATTAGCATTGAAAAACACATTATCACTGGTAATCAGAATTGAATCTAGACATTATTATATGCAATAAAACTTAATAAAAGTTTATAATAATTACAAATTATACTGATAAGGTCAAATGATGAATAAAAATCGATGGTCCATATGCAGAGAAACCGTAAGATTTATGAAGAGTGTAATGTTTTCTCAGTAAAATTGCAATCGACAAGAAGAAATAAATAAACATTATCTGGATGAATTTTATTGTTGATTTCTGTTCTTGTTACAAAAGTCAGATATAAATATTGTTTTGTACACCCTTTTCTTTAAAAACTTTGAAAATGATGAAGAATCAGCGATCAATTAGTAACAAAAAGCATAGAAATTTATATCAGATAATTACAATTAGATTATTTTGTATACATTGGCGCTGTAAGCGGCTTGTTTTATATATATTAATGCACGCAGTTAGATTAAGAAAATTTGAAGTTTCTATTTTAAACAGGCTGCTCGTTGGTTGGTTTGTTGTTTTTGTTTAGTGACATATCAACCTCCATTGGTTGATATAGCGAAATCTAATGCCAAAATATAAATATTTTTTGAGATAACAATGGTTGTAGTGATACAAGTCTTACTAATTAACCCATAGCTGGGGGAGAAGATATAGATTCATACCTTTCCCAAGAGTATTTGCGTGTAAGTGGATATAACGAACCCAATTGGAATTGTAACTCTGCTCTCTGATTAACAATTCCGAGTCATTATCCATTAGAACACCAAGCTTACAGCACCTGGTATTTCCAAACGTTCACCCATTTAGGTACTGTCTAGGCTCGATCTCGCTTAACTTCGGTGATCATACGGGAACCTGTGTTTCAACGTGATATGGCCGTAAGCCAAAGTTTCATATAATTTTTTCGGGTACAGAATCGGTGCAAAAAGTGCATAATAGAACAGGAATATTTGTGTTTGAACATATGTCTTTTCTAACCAATCAAAAATAATTCTAACGAACCAATCAACGGAATGCATATGAAAATCTTTTTTGAGAGCAACCAAAATCGAAATCGATATAGAAATGCCAGTAAAAAATACCATCAAGTTGACTGTTTTTAAATGAAACAACACAGAATTTTGATTCCATCACCTTGCGCGTTGTCTCCATTTGGTCATATCAGAGGGACACTGCATATACTCCCGGCAATTTATTCGAAGAAGGGTTAATATGCCGTGAAACCAAGAAAGCAAATTATTTCTTGAAAATGAATAAAATAAAATTCTGCACCGTCGGTCAATCTTTCCCCGAAAAGTTAATTACATATTTACACTCACAACTCTTTGGGTCAAGTCACTGGATTACTTCAACCAACGCTTTTATCCACTGGGCCATGTTAAGAAGATAATTATATATCAGTTTTTTATTTTTTAAAAAGTAATCATTGAACTAATGACTGTTGTATAATGTCTTTTTCATACAAGATCAGTTTTTGCTACTGCTGCTATAACTTTACGTATATACACATAAATAATAATAGTACACGCCGTTCTTATATAATTGTAACGAGAGGAAATAATTTACCGTATTTTTATGAAAACTTGGTCAACCATTAATCTGCGAACTTGTTCGTAACGAGACCATTCGTACGTTTAATATTTAAAGTCAAAGTACAACAGAACATCCAATCCTTTAATTATATGCTGGAAAATTTCATGTTTATTAAAGAAATTCATTTTAATGTTGTAATTCTTATTTGTCCGTCAAACCTCTGTCTAGAACATTTAACAATTAGTAAACTTAAGTCTGTCATGACTTATCGATTAATTATTGCATAACTCAATATGTTTAAGAAAGCATTTTAAACGATCTTCTTTTGCACTCCACTTTTAAATTTCTTTCCTCATCTGAAATTCGGCCTGTAAATTGCAAATTGATACCCGAAACCATGACAGCAGCAAGTTAAATGACAGTACCTCACGATATTCACATGCTTTGTTGGTTTCCATTCTCATTGTGAAAATGACAGCTGTGTTTTCTGCTCGATCATAGAGCATCTGAACTTTCAAGTTCAGACAGGTATGTCGCAGTTGAATTGCCGATAAAATCTTTCCATGTCGACAGAAAATATATTCTATTTGAAGTGATCGACGATTTCAAGCCGAAAAAAGGCCATCTAAATTGTTCGGCTGTCTTATGAAAATGTTATTAACTTGGGAAAATCTAAATCGAAACGAGCGGGAAAGTTTAAGTTTTAAAACTCGTTGCCTACAATAGAAGCACTGAAAGCTTCCCGCTTGTTGCACATTATCATTTGATACTTGGAATGAAGCTTCTTTTCTGGGACTTTTCTGTAGGACAAATGGACCTGTTCACATTTCTAGAGTGTGATGTAGTTTCGACCTCATCTGCAGAAGAACCGGTCGTAGTGATGGCAAAAATCTGGTTCCAAAAGAGCTTATTCATAAATAATAGTACGGAGATGTATTTCATGTAATTATTCTATTTGATCATTTCCCGGCTGGCAGTACCTTCATTCTCTGAGGATAGTACTAAGGCACTCAAGCATTTGCTCTTCTTACCCTGAGAGAATAGCAGATTTGCCTCTCGGTTGAAATGTTAACGGAAGAAACTTCTTGAGAGTAGTGAGTTAGGGTGGCTTTCTTTATACTTGGCGTTGTTCCACAACACCCCGCGGCTGAGCGTCGTCGTCGACTCAGCGTACAGAAGCAGTTTTTGGCGAGTTTTGTTAGGTTTTGCGCAAGGTTCAGCGGCCAGTAACTTTCACTGTCTGGGAAGACGTTATGCCAAGGATTAGTAGAGGAAGTTGTTTCGGATCCGCCTCTGCGGGAGGTACGAGTTGTCGGTAAAGCGGAGATCTTGTGCATCGAGTGCAGATTACTTCAATAAAAGTGTTTTCACTTATCGGGTGATTGGTCCGGAATGCGCTGCTTTCAATGACGTAGGCATCATGGCCGACACAGAAGAAAGGCTCGATTGTAATCGATGCGAAAGTGGTATAGAAGAAATGGCTAAGCACACCGTCTTTCTCTTTACTAAAGTTCGTCCGTTTTGGGACTATGTTGGCGAACTGACAACTCTCATCGGGCGCAAACAATTCGTATTCACCGACGTCGCGTACATATGTGACAAGATGTTCCCCTCGTGGTCTGGGGTGAAAGGAATGGTGTTTCTCATGTTTATAGATGTGACAAGAATTGTGGTGGAACTGGAAGGAATCTATGGAACAGATATTTTCTCATCTTGAACTGATCTGTTTTATTTTTTTCAGAATCTGCTTAAATTAAATGATGGCGTCCAAAAGAAACAGACTGAACCTAGTAGTTTTCGGCAAAAGATGGCCAAATGTGATAAGCTTGATGTGTGTGAAAGTAATGAGAACTGATTTGCTTTTTAAAGAAATGACGTTCCATCCCGGATTAATGCTTATTACGATTAAGTCAGCATGTACTGTGAACTAGATAAGAGAATGAAACATGTGACCTCCCTCGTTTTTCAAGATCTCTAACTTGAAATATTTTTACTCTAATTTTTCATTCTGAAAAGATCGATCAATCTTACGTTCGCTGTATATATCAACAACGTGTTACTTTTATCAAGAAAAGAATCCCAAAACGGACGAACTTTTACTAGATTACAGTGATTAATTTTCTACCGTTTATCAACCCTTTGCAGGTTATTTAAAGCCAGGAAATATTTTTAGATTGTAAGAATCTCTTTTATTGGAAATGATAATGGTTTAGTGATACAAGTTTTACTAATTAACCCATATCTGGAGGGGGAAGAGAAGGATTAATAACTTTCGCGAGGGTATTTGCGCGTAAATTAATATAACGAACACAACGAGAATTGGAACTCAGTTCTGAGCCATTATCGATTACACCATCCGTACATCCAAGCTACCGCACCTGATATTTGCAAGCGGTCATCCATTTCGGTACTGACCAGGCACGGCGTTGCTTAAATTCGGTGATCGTACGTGAGCCGGTATTTCAACGTGATGAGGTCATAAGCTTGAACTTTTACTAGAGTGGAAGAAAGTGTGCTTAGCCGTTTAATCCTTTTTCGAATAACGTTTCCCGTTATGATAAGAACTGACTTATTATGTCAAATAGGGAAGCTAAGGATGCGTGACCGATAAAGATATAAATTCACATTGAGTTTTATATAAAAATAATTTCTATGTTTTTTTTTTAATATATACAGCTAAAATCTATTATTATATATCATAATGATGCAGATCTGTACGACGTCGGCAATTCAGTAAATAAAATTGGTCTAAAAATACTGCAGACAAGGAAAACAAATTCTTGGTGCATGAAATTGATTTGTTCAAAAGTTCTTTTCGATTAGGAACGAACTAAAACCAAAACATTTTCTGCTTCTGTTTCTAACAAAATATTTTCAAGTTGGAATCGCTGTCTCGTTTAAAATCATTCCGACATCAGTAACTATTTATTTAGTTTATTGTATTTGTGATAGTGTAAATGACAACAAAGTCAAGCATGAAAAATATAAAATATCAAATGTTGGTATAATTATTATTACTGAATATGAGTGTGTATGTTAGCATGTCGATATTTGTCTGAATGTGTGTGTGTGTGTTTGTGTATGGAGGTGTCTGCATGCATGTGGGTGTCTAGGTGTGGGAGTAAATCAATTTCTCATGAGTCTGAGTTAGTTATGAGCGGAAAGTCAATTTTTTTCTAAATTTGTCATAAAACAAACAGAACTCATATCGACAATAATATTATCTTTCTGCAAATACGTGGGATTAATTCTGATTTAAAAAAAAATAGATAATCCGTTTTTGATGAGGACTAAATAAACAGAATGAAAACGATAATCCTGTTATGTGATTTTAATCGTATTCTTGCGTTATTCACTTCGCTTGTAAGTCAATGATATATATATATATATATATATATATATATATATATATATATATATATATATATATATAATATTGAAAGTATGAATACAATAGCGTTTTCTAAATTCTTTCTACTTGCTAAGGACATTCTGTTTCTGTCTATATTTCTGAGATGAGGTGTTATGTACACTATTTACATTATTCGGACTATTGTCCTCATCTTTGAAAAATCAGGCGTGGCTGACCACACATGGAGAGAAAAGGGAGATCACCGCCCTCTGTGGGATCAGGTTGAAATCATAGACAAAGAACATCATTTGAAAATTCGTATACTTAAGGAATCAGCACATATACTAGGCCACAAAAATCTCCTGAGCCGACCAAGCATAGGAATGAATACAATATGGGAACCAGTAATAAGGAGTGCAAGAAAAAAGCGATAATAATAACGAAAATTGCAATATGAGCTATGGTAAAAAAAACATGCAATGATAACATCAAAAATTGCAATATAAGCAGTAAAAACTGGTTGCTGAAGACATTAGGTTTATAATACCCAGAAATTCATACACAGATGTCCTCAAGGGCACATGGCACAGTTGATAAAGGCGTTAGTTAGATCCAGTGACAGGACTCAAAGAGTGTGAGTTCAATACCTGGTTAGGCGGTGGAGAACTTGGAGATGGGAATTAGTAGGAGATAACTGATAGCTGACATCCATTAGACATGGCACGTGGAACTAGAACAGTCTACCCCAGTGAGCGAAATAAAGGGTTCAGTTCGACATTCCAACCACCTGAAGAAGATCGGAGCATACAATGGCCGAAACGTTGTGATAAATATGGCAACAAAGATGAGGAGAATAGTCCGAATAAATTAAATAATGACATTCTGTTTGTTGAATTTAGGAAAATAAAGTAATTATTGTTACTTTGTTTTCAATAAATTCATTTCGTTTTTGCTTTGAAAAAGTACACATTAGACGAAACGCGTCGGTTAATAATACAGTTTTCTTATTGTTTTTACCTTTATACAAATTGTCTTTTTCTACAGGTTAACTCTGAGAAATTTTTCACACACACACTCATATATATATATATATATATTCAGGTATAAAAATAAGAACAAATGGAATACAATTCTACTGTCCGTAGCATTTAATTTAAAAAAGGCTCAATACAGAGTACAACTTTATATTATTTATTATAGGAGATTAAAACAAAATCATGCTAAAAATCTCTACACAATAGCTTTCGTGTTCCGACACTAAGTTGTGCCTCTTTAGGCGATGGAAAATAGTTGGTGTGTAAACGATTATTTTTAATTTCAAAAGCAAAATACTCCCTCTTTTTCGAAAGTAAAGAGAAGACGAGAAAACAACAGATCAGAATTAAAATGAGGCTTGTGGGTTTATCTTGATTAACCAATCAGGTGACAGACCTACGCTAAATTCAAAATTAAACTAAAAAAGAAAATTGAGATTATGGCATAATGTAGCCAGAAATAGAATCCTAGATAAGGTCATTAGTGGAAGACATGAAATTGATTCAAACTATAAACTTACCCAGTAGGTTTATTGCTGCTACTTGATTCATCTTTCGCTTACAATATGAGTATTAATTCTGCAAACCATCTTTTCTCATTATGTGCTCCGGCAAAATGTAAGCTATTTCTTATTTTTAGCAGTAATGTTAATATACTCTTCAAAACATCTTTTATTGCTACATAATCTGACCAAGGTACTTTCAATATTCCTTATTTTAGAGGCTGGAATTTTGTTTTCATCCGTAACGAAATATATAGGAATATTAAACATTAGATACAATTTTCAGCACATTATTGGATTCTTTAATAACTTTAATAATAAATCATCCATCACTGTTTCTATGCCCCTTCAAATTTCCCTGTTGCACTTTTATCATTAGTTAGTATTCTTTCGGAATAATTCAATTCCCGGACTAATTTGAATGTTACATCCAAAATATGTAATTCCTAGTTTGTGTTGTATCTCATGTATTCTGGATTTTTGCAGTTAATGGAAAGTCCTTTCTTGCCACTGGTAAGTCTTTTGTTTTCATCGACTGATAGTTTCTTTTACTTTTTCTTCTGAATCTACCACAAACACAGTGTCGCCTGAATAGCATATGTTGTCAAGGTTAAGTCCATTGATAATAAATCCTGATAGGTCTTCAAATCCTTTCGAATCATTTTGAAGCATAAATTTAATACGTCCAGTGAGAAAAGACATTCACTTTTTTTTTATTTTTGTATACTCACTGAATTCGTTTTCAATCCACATACAAGCTGCTTGCTGCTTAAACAGATTACGGATTAATTTACTATCTTTTCCATGTAGGCCAAGTTTTCCTGAGAATTCATTATTAATTATAATTATGTAATCATATTATTTGCTAATATTTCATTATCGTACAGTATTGAATACGTTTGTGTAATCTATGAAAGTTCCGGGAAACTTATATCGGTAGAAATTCTACGTTCTTTTTATAAAAGAATATTATTTTCTTTAGTGAAAGCAGAGAGAGAGAGAGAGAGAGAGAGAGAGAGAGAGAAATAAATAGAGTGAGAAAAGGCAACAGAGGAAAAGAAAGATAAAGTATAGGTTAGGTCAGGAAGTGTGGGAATGAGATTGGAAGAGGGAGAGGGAAAGGATGGTAAGAGAAAATGATATCAGTAGAGGATTTTTTTCTTTTCAACGGGTTATTGATAAATGCAGCTTAAGAGAGTGAAAGAGAAATAGACAGAGAGGAAGATTGAAAAAGAGAGTGAGATAGAGTAAGGGAGAAAGGAAGAAAGAGAGAGTGCTTCTAAGGACTTTGTTTTATGATGGTAAGTAACAAAATTCCTAAAATAGTTGCAGCTGAAACAATAGATATTTCAAGTCTCTTTTACACATTCAAAACAATGGTCATTATAAGGAGAGCCGGTAGTGTAAATTAATTATTTGTGAAGGACTCGTTTAGAAAGAGAAAACAATGAGAGTGGGCATCCTAAGGGACTAATTAATTACGGCCCCATTTCCAGTTCATTTTATAAACATTTTATGGAAGGTAGTAATCTTAAAAACAAACCAAGTAGGCCAGTAAACAAGTCAGACGTAGAAGTTTGTTTTTTTATTATTTATATAGAACAAAAATTGCGAGAATTTCCTTTGGTGAGTGAAAATAATAGGATTATTTATTGCGATTTTTTTTATTTAATATTATAAATATTTTACAAGAACCGAAAACTTTCAAGACGGTGATCAGCAGGAAAAAAATCGGTGAATAAGCAGTTGTAAAATATTTTCCATTTATTGGGGATGTGTTGTTTTCGTCTAGTTTTTTTTTTTCACAGAATATATTTCATTAGTTGTCACGAGAAACAGCAAACAAATGAACGGCAGTAGATGATTGAGTTTCTGTATCATTTTAAATCATTCTTTCTTTTTTTAGAGGGACCAGCAGAAATTGATTAAAACCATTAAAAAGAGACACTGATTAGGAATGGTATAATTCTTCAAACCCAGCTGTAAATAGCAGGACAGATTGGGTTCTATAGCTTTGGGTGTAAGCGAAGGAAAACTTTGAATTCAAAACAGCCCTGGCGAAGCACTTACTGTGCAGCTAAGGATCGTTCGCATAAACTCGATGATCCCGGCTACGATCGACAACTTAACTACTGACCTGATTGTTGCTTAAGTAAAAGGACATAAGTTATTTAGACAGTTTTAGCAACTGAAGAAAGTTATTGGCATACCTAAAATGGAACAGGGGAAGCAATCCGCATCGGGTGGCAAAGTTTTGTGGGTGGCACGTAGATAAATTAATTGTGCCTTTTCTCTCGTTTCATTTTTTACATAAATTCCCATGACATTTACTTTGAGGGTTACACTATGAATAACTTATTGTCATAGAATCTTTTGCATAGAGCCTATATTGTTAAAATAATAACATTTTACCCTAAAAATTCCTTTTATTCCGTTTAGTTATTTTAAAAATGTTTTTCTATTTTGTTTTTTAATTCTGTAATCAAAACAAAATAAAATTTTATGATTTGTAGATGTTGTCTAGTTTTGGAATGCTGTTTCGAGGATCGGCAAATTCTACGACTACCCTCGGAGGCTAGATACGCCGC